CTGGAGTGCTGAAACTTTCTGAGCGCTACCCAGGATCGTGTTTGACCAATTACAGACATAGAAAGCACTCAGGTTGCCACTCACGTGCGAACACGTGAAATTTGACGTAACTCTGCAACAAGAGCAGCTGGAGTGGTAAAACCTTCTAAGCTTTACTCGGGGCCGTGTTTGAGTAACCCCAAGCGAAGAAAGCATTCACTTTATCATTCACGTACGAACACGTGAAATTTGACGTAACTCTGCAACCGGAGCAGCTTGAGTACTGAAACTTTTTGAGCACTACCTAGGGCCGTCTTTAAGTAAGCCCAAGCGAAGAAAACACTCACGTTCCTACTCACGTACGAACACGTAGAGTTTGGCGTAACTCCGCAACCAAAGCATCCAGAGCGCTGAATTTTTTGGGGATGGACTGGGAGTCATTGTATTGATTTCTAACGGTCATGGTGGCCAGTCACAATTCTTTTAGCTAGAAGCATCTGCCAGGAAGAACGTGCCACTGGCGAAAAAACCTGCGGGGGGAACTGTGCAAAAAACGCATCCTCGTACCGGCAGCCGGTACGCTTTCGACTAGGTTTACAATTGCCGGTTGAAGACTAAGCCGTTATGATTGGCAATTACAGTAACTTGGCTCGGCTGATGATCTCTGGTATTTTAGCCTTCCGGCGCTTCGCTCTATCATCTATGCCAACACTATTTCGCGGCGCCGCTTGCTGGAGCTTTGCCAGACGCGCTGGGTAGCGCTGACCCGTGTCTGGCGGCTGAATTACGTGGCTGGGGGTGATGGGGAGGACTGGACGTGGTTATGGGAAGGAGGAGGAGGGGGGCGTTGGTTGGTAATTGCCTAGATACAGCTCGGAGGGCGCGACTGAGGCCAGGATAGTGGGGAGGAATGAAGTTGCTGGTTAGGAGTTCAGAACGATAGACGGTGACAGTGGTTGGAAGTGGTGAGTGCCCCGATGTGGCTCTGGAGGCGGGGGTTGAGGAGAGGATACAGGAAGGAAAGAAGGGTGCTAGTCAGGAGTTCGAAGCAAGAACTGCAGATAGCAGTAAAGATGAAAGCAAACCAACACGGCATTACAAAGAAAAGTAAATTAAAACAAACCTGAATCTGCGAATAAAAAGAATTCATTTACTGAAACTTATGCTCAGATGAAGCTCAAGGCAAATAATTTCGACAGGATTAACTGGAGCTTATGCTTAGGTGAGGCGAGGGCAAACAAGCCCAGTC